TGGCTTAGGAAAGTTTATCTATATTGTTGGAAATAAGAAACTGTTTGATTATGGTGCTTACATTTTTTATCATACTATTAAGCATGCAGGAACATGTGCTATCAAAATGCCTATTGCCTTTCCATATCTTATTTGTGGAATTATTCTTAATCAACATCTTAGAATTCTGAGTGGTAATGATGTAGTTTGCTAAAGGGAGTCTGCTCTGACCCTTCACTTTAAGCTGTTTTCAGGAAAACATGTCCCAAACATTGTTTTGACATCTGCATCTTCTGAAAACAAGACCTCAACCAAGGATGACATGATTACTAAATTAAGGGAAGCCTGCAAAGAACTTGATGATGTGATCAGAGCTAGATCAGCAAGAAAGCTAATTTTTGAAAAGATGATAAAGAATGTGTAGAAGGACAACAATTTTGATGATAGAGTGAGAACTGAAGGAGGAGATTCTGATGATGAAGGAAGTTCTAACTATGCCAAGTCTACTGGTCCTGAAGACAGTTAGACCATTTGCTGTTTATTTGTTTTGACCCCTTTGTTCCTTTTTGGCACTTGTATGTGCTTGACTCTTGGATTTTATGGTCTGTACTTATTTGGCATATTCTATTATTGTTATTCTCTTGAATGTATGTTTTATTTGGCATATTATGTCTAAAAAGGGGGAGAGAAACTGACTGACCTCTGACCGACTAACCACTGACCGATGGGGAGCTTAATGTTTGAGGGGGAGCCTTATGTCTCCAAAGATGTTTTGACATCTTCCTCTGCTAATAGCTAACTTAGTTACTTTTGCTAACTGCTAACTGAGTTTTGTTTTTGCTTATGCCGCTTCTCTGATGTGCTCAAATAATGTTTTAGCCAAAATTTTCCAAAGGGGGAGTTTGTAAGTGTTTGTTGGCAGCAATTTTGGTAAAACACTAACTTGATAATGTTTTGCTAAATGTCTTGAAATTTGAATCAAATTGGTTTTAAATGATGTCAAAGCAGATGTCTTGACATCTGCCTCCTGATCTGAACGCGACTTCATATTTGTTTCCTATTTTTATGCGCGCCATTATTCAGGATTTGTGACACATAGTTTACGAAAAATATGGAGGAATATTTTTCTATTTGCATTATCCTTATGGATTATATCTTGGTCTGTTTTCATGGAAATATTCAAGGGATTGGAATATTCGTTTTCAGCCCAAGCCCACTGCTGCGCCTTTATAAGGACTTGCATCCTTATTCATCAAGCTGCAACTTTTAAAAGAAGAACATATTCTTTCTATTTTTAGAAGTCTAAGTCTTTTTAATTGTAATACACTCTAAGTATTGGTTTAATACTTGAGTTGTAATTTGAGTTGTTAATTATGGATCATTCATAAGCTTTTAAGTATTGAATGATTGAAGTCCCTAAAACTTAATATTTATGTTGTTCTTCATTGTTAGTGATTGAAGGGATTTGAGGAGGGCCTCATACCTAGGTGTGTCTTAGGTAGAAGTATATCACGGGTAGTGATTAAGTGATTAGATTGTAAAGTGGTTATTTACTGAGAGTCTATGAATTGATATTATTTAGTGGACTTGTCCCTGGCCTGGTAGCCCCCAGAGCAGGTGTTATTGTACACCGAATTGGATTAACAATCCCTTGTGTTTTTACTGCTTTTAATATTGTTGCATTTTATACTGTCCTCAGATATTTGTGTCGTGACATATCCTTCGATTTCTCATATCTGATACCATAATTTCAAACATCATACATAAAACATCATCGTGTATACTCATGTAATCATCATGTATACTCATGTAATTGAAATATCGTCATAACGTTATCACATAATCATAATAGCAACATATCATCATAGTTAAGCAAATCGTCATTGCAATTCAATGCGGGAAACCCATTCTTACTCTAACTTAGGTCTTATAAAAATATTCATAAGTCTCCATTTTATCTGGCCTAATTACAGTATACTATGTTAGCTACCCACAACTTTGAACGGTACTTCATTCTGAGATCTAGAACTAAAGTTATGCTCGTTTCAAGATTTCAATCCAAACATTCCAGCTCTGCCTCCCATCGCCCGGAGAAACCTCATCATCGCCCGGTGACCCTTACCCGAGACCAACACTCCATTTCGCCTCCTTTCTTGCCTCTTCATTCGCCTGACGGAGCATCGTCGCCCGGTGACACATGGACCGTCGCCTGGCGATTCCTTGCGAACAGGATTTTCCTGTTTGCGATTCTACACTATTCCAAACCATTTTTCCTGCAATTTCAGTATGTTATAGGCCTTAAAACACTATCTAATCATGGGAAATCATCACCTAACAATAATTTGATAAAATACCTTAATTATACAACAATTACGGGTCATCCATCATCACAATTCCATTAAATCTTAACCCAACAACATCAAATCACCATTGTCAATACTAAGGGTGAATCCTACATCTATCTACCACTTAGATCAAACATAATCAGATAAAGACCCCTTACCTTATTGTTTCGAGTGACTGATTATGTTCTTCGTGCCTCTTACGGTGATTGTCCAACCCTCTGTGCCCTAGCTTCACTTTTCTCCACAGTGTCAGTTCTCTTTCTCAACTTTTCACGATCGATTGTGAGAATACGATTACCTTTTCCTCTGTTATCACAAGGTCCCCTAACATCTTCCTCAATTACCCTCACTTAGTCAACCTCTATTTACCATCACATCCTCACTATTCCTACTAATTACCAACATACCACTCTAACTAAAATAATTCTATTTAAATAATTATTCCTATTATTTTATTCTAAATAATAATCTAAATAATTACTAATTAATCATCTAATTATTCCAATGCATCTAATCCCTTCATTCACATCACATGTTCCACATCATAAGCAACCACATGCCAACACATCACACATATAATCATATAAAATACCAATTATTCATAAATACTCCTAATAATTCATTAAATAAATAACTTCTAAAAGTTGGAGTGTGACAAACAACCTGCATTTTAATTGGGCCCCCGACATTGTGGTAGTGGAGTATCGCTTCAAACCCGTCGATATGGTCGACAGGATCAACAATGCCATCATAATCCTTTAGTAGGGGAGGCTTCTCCATTCCTTTAGGAATGGGAGCCTTCATGATGGCTTGGGATAGTGGATCGCGGGAGTTGTCTTTGTCACTTCTTTCTAGGGAGCAAGAGGGGAACTGCTTGTAGCGATAGTATTTGTGTCGGTCTTGGCCAAGACTTCTTTTCTTTATTTCTTTGTTCCTTTTATGTTCAGGGGATCGTCGTTGTTTGCACGGGGGAGTGTGACTGCACTTATTGATAGCTTCAGACTGGGTCCTCTCCAAAGTGGGACCTCGCCTAGTGCGGCGAGGAGTAGGGCTTCGAGAATCATCCCGTCTGTGTCTCCGCGGGGGAGATCAGGAGCGGTCCTCGTTCGGGGAGGAGGAGTTCGAGAGTCATGTCTCCTGTGCTTTCTAGGGGCCCGACGGGTCTGCTCCAGCCTCGTCATTCGCTCACCCTATGAGAAGATAATGTAATTAGTCTGGTTGATTGCCACAAACAAGGCTCTGGTCGCAGCGTCAGCGCCTTCAGGAACGGGGATCTCCCGATATACATTGGGCTCATAATTCTGTAGAGGATGATAGTCGCCGTCGCATGGTTGTAAGAGCGTGGATGAAGAGGCGGTCAGTCCATCACTATGGTCTTGCTCGGGATCGGCCACGTCGTTATTGTTGACCGCATTGTTGTCGCCAACATTATTGTTGTTGGCATCAGCAAAATGGACGTTTTAGTTATCATTGACAGCTTGGTCGACTATGACAATCAGAAGGTTGATAAAGAGTTGTTTTCGTCTTGAGTGGAAGACAGAGAAGTTGGATTCCCACAAACGACGCCACTGATCGTACTTGATCAGAAGGGATGTCTAGGTCTACGAGCTTCAAGTCGAGCAGTGGTTGAATGTGAAGTGAGGGGTACCTTCAAGACACTCTGATGCCAAAGTAAGGTTCAGAGCAAGTGCAAGTAAGTGTGGGAGTATGAGTGAATGAATGAATACCCGACTCTCTCGAGTGATAGGATATTTGTAGCCCCCAACACTAGGCCAAGGTCCCCATTGTTGAGTTGATCAAGCAGGCCCAAAATGGAGTCTGTCAGGTCCTACGTGTATAGTAGAGGCTAGCACGTGGTCCCCAACCTGAATGGACTCCTCTGAATTATCAGGAGGACGTGGATGCTGTCTTTTCAGGGTCAAGAGAATTCTGTGACATTCGAGGGCATTGGGTGCCTGCCATACGAGGATGGTGCTCGCGAGGACCTCCTGAGTGTCGTTGGTCCTCCTCGCCTGTCATGAGGTTGTCCCCGGAGGACATATTCTAGTCGACGAGAGGAGTGAAATCACTGCTGATATTGTCAAGGGAAAACTCTCTCCTGCTGGTTTTCTCCTGCAGCATAGTTGTACTGAGCCTTGTATGATGTTTGGGTTAAATGTAGGTCCAACCCAGAACAATCACCATCCATCCTCCAAAGATGAAAAGAAATATCAATGTCTTATAGAAGGCTCCATCAATTGGTTGGATAAAAAACAACATTGATGATGTAGTTGGGAGACCTTCATAGTGTACTAGTGATGCTATTTTCAGAAATAAATATCGACAGTGATCACATTAGTTCTTTATCTTTTCTAGGTGAAAGAAATGCTTTAAATACAAAAACTTATTGAAGCTATCATGGTAACAGAGACAGCCATTGATAAGTAGTAGGATAACATTTGGATTGAAACAAACTTTTTGATTATTATTAAAGCTCTTACAATACAAATCTTGTCCATTGGTGTATCAAAAATTGTTGGTTAAATTGCTTGCATAAATTGAAAAACTTTAGGCTCATGATAACATATATAATCGAAAAACTTTAGGCTCATGATAACATTTATAAAAAATAAAAAAAACTAAATTCACATGATTTAAGTAAACTAAGTTAATACTAGAACTTACCTGAAGAAACACATGGCACTTGTAACAAGCACTCCAACCTATGAAGAACCAATCATCGCCGAGGTTGACATGGGTTCTGATTTCAGTGAACCCACAGTTCGAGCCACCGTTGTTCAGGCTTCCACCGTCTTCTACGACACTCCCGCCACTCTAGGTCCTCTTACTCCCCCCATCTCTAATTCATCCCAGTAACATCCTTTTCTTTCAAAAATGATTATAATCTGAAACCCTTTCTCGTTTCAATGTTAAATTTTCTTAATGTTGAATTGGTTTCTGATTTATGATTTCTGAGTATTTATTTATGTTGCAGATAAGGCTGAGAGATTGCTGGCTAAAGCAGCTAGCTATGGCTCCCAGCTTGTTGTGTTTCCAGAAGCATTTATTGGTGGCTATCCGCGTGGGTCTAGTTTTGGTGTTACTATTGGCAACCGCACAGCCAAGGGTAGAGAAGAGTTTAGGAAGTATCGTTTAGCGGCCATTGATGTTCCTGGTAAGACCTTAGTTCAAAGAAATCACTGCCTTAGGAGTTATTTAATTTTTATCTATGTATTTTTCTATTTGTGTTGTTTTTATATGTATCTATACAATTTTACTAATATATTCATACAAGTTATCGGATTACTGTAACATCTTGTACGAAACAAAACACGAGAATAAAGTAAGTGTAGTAGAGATGAGGATTTGCGTTGGATGTATGGTAAGACTAGACGGAATAAGATTAGAAATTATAATATTAGAGAGAGTGTTGGGGTAACACCTATAGTAGAAAAGATGGTGGAAAATAGACTTGGGTGGTTTGGGCGTCTAGAGAAAAGTCACGTAGATTCTGTGTTAAGGAGAATAAATTAGATGGAGAGGAGTCAAACAACGAGAGGTAGAGGAAGACCTAGAAAATCTATAGGAGAAGTTATTCAGAAAGAACTCGAGATTAACGATTTGGATAGAAATTTGGTCATGGGTAGAACATTATGGCGGAAGTTGATCCATGTAGCCGATGCCACTTAGTGGGATGAGGCTTGGTTGTTGTTGTATTGATACAGCTTATCAAAGTTAAGAGCTCTAATTTTTTGTTAAAGTTTTGTTTTACGCATCACCTCACCTTGTTGCATATTGGTTGTCAGGAATATGAAGAAGTTTGATCAGTTTGATTTTATACGTATGTTTATATAGTTTAATCGTTAGTCTGTTCACATTTCTTGAATTCGTCCGAGAATTTTACTAAGACTAGTTGTTAGTATGCTAGTATGAATACAAATTGAGGCGCATATTTATGAATGAGTTTGTACTGCTAATACAATTTTATTAATGACACTTATCTAGTAATCTTTTGACCTTTGTTGATTTTTCCTTTGTACCAAAGAATCAATCTCATGTCACCTTCAAGTTGGAGGGGGGAAATCCCAGAATGAATTTTTTCGTATAAAATTTTCAACCCTAAAATGTTCACACATTGATGATTTTAACAGATCCGAGCTGCTGTCCGCACACATTTTCCAGTAACAAGTATCGTAATTATTGCTGTAGGTCCTGAGGTGGATAGATTGGCAGCAATGGCGGAAAAGTATAAAGTACATTTAGTGATGGGTGTGATAGAGAGGGATGGATACACACTTTATTGTACTGTCGTCTTCTTTGATTCTCAAGGTCATTACTTAGGAAAGCACAGGAAAATCATGCCAACAGCAATCGAACGGGTTATCTGGGGATTTGGAGATGGATCAACCATTCCAGTGTTTGAAACTCCAATTGGAAAAATTGGTGCTGCCATTTGTTGGGAGAATAAGATGCCACTATTAAGAACAGCAATGTATGCTAAAGGTTAGAAATTTTACCTTGGATTTTTTTGTCTTCCAATTACATGCTATTTTAAATGACCTAACATTGTATATTTCTTTTGATAAACAAAAAACATTGTATAGTTCTTGGATTGGGGCCTTTTTGGATTGATTTATTTGAGCTTATATACTATTGTAGTATGCGATACTATTTGGTAGGTAGAAGAGAGCTTAAAGAAACAACTTATGACATTTCCATTTGTTAAGAGTCCCGATGTAAGTGGGGGCAATTCTCATCCTTCAAACTGGTTTTATAGGGTTGAGTTAGGTCCAACCCACACATTCTAAGATGGTATCATAGTTCGGTTTAAGATTCATGAGCCACCTACTATCAAGGAGGGGGTGTTAAGAGTTCCGATGTAAGTGGGGGCAATCCTCACCCTTCAAGCCGGTTTTGTAGGGTTGAGTTAGGCCCAACCCACACATTCTAAGACCATTAAATGTTTCTATCCAATTTCCATAAGCTCTTCAGGATAGCTTAAGAAAACAATTTGATTTTATTTGATTTTATTATTTTGTTATAGAAATAGTTTATACGCAAACACTTAAATGATTCGCACTTATTCTATGAGAGCTTAATTAAGATGTTTATCCAAACAGGGCCGATTTGGATAAACTCCCCTTAGTAGCATTAGAAATTGCATATGCCTGTACTGAAGCTGTTTGTTTACATTGTAAATCGCTGGCGCTTGGTTTTAACAGGTGTGGAAATATATTGTGCACCAACTGCTGATTCGAGGGACTTGTGGCAAGCAACGGTGACCCATATTGCACATGAAGGTGGATGTTTCGTTTTGTCCGCGAACCAGTTCTGTAGGAGGAAGGATTATCCACCTGCTCCAGAGCACGTTTTTGAAGGTTTAGAAGATGACCTCACACCTGATTCTGTTGTATGTGCTGGAGGTAGTGTCATTATATCACCGTCAGGGACTGTATTGGCTGGACCAAATTATGAGGATGAGGCGCTGATAACAGCAGACCTAGGTATGTCTGTCGTCCATGGTTGATATTTACACTAGTTGCTTGTACTTCTTTACAAAGAGTATTGCTTTCTTTGAATGTATGTCCAGCTGCGAGTAAGCATTGATTGTTACCCAGCACATTTCTGGTACAATGTGGCAGACATGGTTACCAGATTAGCGAGCTAGTATGTGAGTAATAAGAATTTTGGATTTTGGATTCAAGTGTTTTAGGTTTGTCATCTTATTAGGATGGATGGATTTGCATTAGTATGACAGCACTTATTTTTTACCTAGATTATTATTTTATTACTTACACGCTTCTATCATATATTTAAGTCCGTTATTATGACACTAATAACTTCAAGACTCTAGCTTATTTGATCCAGTTTTCATCTAATTTAGTTGGCTACAATTTCAACAGGGTCACATATAAGGATGATTATGTTAGAAAAATTATATGAAAAATGTTAAAATTTGTATGAAGTATTTTTAGCCTCCATTCTTTGTTTCAATATTTTGAAGTTCAGTTGGATCAAACATTATAAAGAAGATAATTGCACTTGAACTATTAGGAACCAACCAAATGAAACTTCATAGTTGCAAATATGCATGCATCTTTGATGCCATATAAAAATAGTTAATATAAGAAAATAGCCAGCTGAACTAAAGAACCTCACTTGAGGTTGTTCATGTTCCGAGCAACGTTTAATCATATGTGGTTTTAATGTCATGTCTCTCGGGCTCTCTTGAAGGTCTATTATGAAGAGTTACTTTTAATGGCATACTTTTCCATAGTTTCATTGTCATGAGAGTTTGCCTTTATGAGTTGAATGCTTCGCCCTGACTTTTGAAACTTATGCGCAGATCTTGGGGAAATAGCAAGAGCTAAGTTTGATTTTGATGTTGTTGGACACTATGCCAGACCTGAAGTGCTCAGCTTGATTGTCAAAGACCATCCAACAAATCCGGTTACTTTTGCCTCGGCATCAACAAAAACTGAAGAGAAGAGCAAGTAGTTTCTTCCTTTCACAATCAGCAACTTCCGAACTGCCAGTTATGGATTTGTCATGATTTTAGCCTACTCGGTTTAGGCTTATCTAATAAAGTAAGCTCTTGCATATAGGTTTGATTCATTTGAACTTATTACAATGACTTTGAGTAATTAGAAAATTCTACTTCAAAAGCATTAAAAAGAGAATCACTAAATTTTCATGTAAAAAAGTGATAAATGCTTAAATTATGTTTGTAATCTGCATGTTTATTCAAATACGCCCTAAGCTTTTACGTAAGACAACGTAGTTGAAGTGATTCTTGTTTCTACAAACTATTTTTACTAATATTTATTGAACTTGTTTATTTTATGCCACGGCATCCTATAACAATAGTCAGTTGTTTCAAAATTAGTTATTAGGAAAGTTTCAAAATCACACAATTGAGTAAAGTTATTCTGTTGGAAAGGTTTCAAACCACTTTGAGCAATTATAGAGGATTGTTTTTGTTCATATGTGACATGAGGATTTATCCAATTAGAAAACTAAACATGCAATCAGGACATAGAAAAACATTTGTGTAATTGTAGCCAAATGTTAGAGATTAATCTGTTACGGGTTAGAGAATTTGTTAGCAGTTGGGATCAAACTCTATACCTCTTGATACTTCTTCAGCATTTCAATCCATACTACTGGGCTACACCTTTAGGTACTTGAGCAATGTTTGTTGGGTAATTTGAAATCATTTTACATAAAAGAGAGAGAGAGAGAGAGAGAAAGAGTTGAACTTTCAAAATCAAATGTATATCAATGACCTTAAAATGCTGTTACTTTTCATGAAGCCATTGTTTTCCTAGCAACCAAGTACATGTTTATTATTTATGATAAATTTCACTTTATGAAGTTGAATTGAACATATAAAGAGAGTGGTTAGTCTGAGAATTTGGGTTGGGCTTGTTGCGTGAATATAAATGGTTGGTGGTCCTAATAGTGGAAACCTGATAGCAGTAGCCTAATGAAATTTGGAATAGATTTTGACACCATCTTAAAATTATAGTCGGGTCTAACTCAACCTTATAAAATCGGTTTGTAAGTTGAGGATGTCCTCGATGTATAAACATATTTTCAAGCCATATTTCATTCTACTTTAGACTCTTTAACAATTAGGATTTCAATTCTCTATAAATAGATAAATGTGCTAGGATGTAGAAACACTCAATAGGTTACTTATATTCTTTTAAGCCTATTTTCTCTTTTAAAAATACAAGTGGAAGGGTAAATATGGAAATAATGGTTATGTTAAATAGGGTGTTGGGTCCACCTAAAAAAGTTCTTGTAAAACCATCTCATAGTGGCCCACTTCAACGATGGTTGATCCAAGATCCAAGCAGAGGCAACCTAAGATTACAGAGTTCAAATATTTGAATAGTTGTAATTGGAACTATCCAATAATAATGTCATCTCTCACAGGCTGTCACAATCATACTTGCTGCATTTAAATCACAACCATACATTCTCAAATATAATTGAGTCCCCATAATTTAGTAGCAGTCTCCTTTGTTCTTATTTCATTTGTATGGATCCCAAAATGGTCCATTATTTTTTTCTTTTGGAATTATTAAGGAAATCACATGTTAGTGGCTACCCAGCAATTTTCATACAGGTGGATCAAACAACTTGTTAAATATTTACCTGTTTCTTGTTATATAGCTTTAACAAATATCACAATGTCACATATTACCTCTGTGACACCTCTGAGAAAAGGTGCGGTCCGAAACCGACACCGACACTTGTGATTATGTTTAGTTTATTATCGGTGTCAACGTGTCAGTGTCGGTGTCCATGCTTTGTACATATTACCAATGATAAGTTTTGAACATATTCAATACATGAAAGACATCATTTACAACTTGGAACAAAACTAAAAATAATAGGAGCTATCAGATGATAATAATTTGCTAACCATCACTATCAAAACTCTTTAAGTAACATCTTGGTTTTTTCACTTCAGCTTCTTGCTTCAAATTGTCACCCTCAAATGCAAGAAGAATATTTTCTTCAGCTTCTTCATTATTACTCTGCAAAGTTAACAGTTGATCTCTTCTTTGAACAGGATTGGCGCCTGAAATAGACCTATTGCTTGGAGTTCCTTCCTTATCGTCTTGTATCCGAGCTCGAGAGAGAAATTCAACTGAAGTGTCGGGATCAGAATGATCACAAACTTTTTGAATATTTATTTCCAAATCCCTTTTCTTAAAGCTGGAATTTCTCTTATTAAAGCAAATACTTCCCCATTGAATTCTCTCAGAGAAAGATTTCCTCCCTGTGCTATCTTTGTCAGTTGAAACTCTTTTCGGGTCATTTTGAGCATCCTTTTCGTTTGTGTAACTCCAGTCATAGCCTCTATTGTCATTATTATTCATGTTCAATTCAATCGAAACGAGATCACTGCCGTCATCATCCGAATCATTCACTTTCTCTGCATTTCGGATTCCGTGACAAATGGTGTTGAAATAAGTCTCAAGGTCGTTGAATTTTGTACTCTCGGGAGAAACATCTCCATTTTCTTCATCTCTAGTTCTCATAAAGTCCTCGAGCTCGTTTCTCAGCTTTTCTAGGAAATCATTTTTCTCCTCGAATTGATATTTAGCTTCTGAAAGCTTCATCTGGACTCTCTCCTCGCGCAAAATATCCGCTAACTGAAGCATTTCCCTCTCCTTTTCCACCTCTTCGAGAACTTTAACCGACTCCTTTTTCAGTTCTTCCACATGCGCTCTGTCTTCCCCAATACCTCTAGCTAGTTCATCGCAAACTTGCTCGAGAATCTCTTTCGCACGTTTCTCCCTCTCTAGCTCCTTGCATAATTCCATGTGTGAAGCTTTCACACTAGCCATTTCAATGGCAATCTTCTTATTCAACCTTTCAGTTTGCTTTCTCAACTTCTTCTCCACCTTAAGCTCTTCAGATACATTTTTAATTGCATCATGAACCTTTTCTCTTTCTCGCATTTTCAATGCAGCTTTTTCTTCTTCAAAACGCTTCACCATGTACTCAGCATTGATCTGGTTTGAGTTTGAGCGTTCTTCTTGGACCAGTTTATCAACCTGGCCGCAGACGCGCTCAAGCTCACTTCCGAGGGCCATTACAAGGGCCATTGTCGACGATTGCTTCTCTCGATGACACATTTTATTTAAAACCTTAAGAATCTTCTTCGATGTCGATAGACCACTTCTAGCTTCCTTCAGACGGCTTTTAACTCCATCCTTATTTTTGTAACAATTCTCCTGCAATTCAAATGTAATTCAAAAAATACACAAAAATAATGTATTTGACATCAAAATTTTGATGTCAGAAAAATCATTTCTCTTTCTATTTAGCATGACAAATTTACTTGCTATAAGCCTATAAACCTATAAACCTTTGTAGCACTGATTGTGTCAGTGTCGGTGTTTGAAACCGACACCGACACTTGTGATTACATTTAATTTATTAATTTTTTTAAATTATTGTCAATATCGACATGTGAGTATCAGTGTCGTATTTTCTGTGTCCGTGCTTCGTATCTATAAACACTGTACCTCAATGAAACTGGAACTCATATGGGCATCAACACCAGAACGATGTGGATGAGATAATCCTGAAACTGTTCTTCTGTAGCCATCACTTTCAAATCCTTTCATTCTCTGCATAATCAAAACAACAAAACAATAAACGCATAGCTTCATACCAGACCAACCCAATGACCCATCACACACACACAAAAAAACTTTCTTTTATAGCAATTTACCTCTGTAGTAGGACTGTTGCATGGATCTGATATAAGTGACCTTAACAAACCTGATCTAGACAAGCTCACAGCTTTTTCTCTGCTTTTCATACTTGTTTCCTTGCAGGTTCTCATTTGGTCAACCTCAAACTCCTTTTTGACCATTGAAGGAATCAAATCATTCATTTCCCACAAAGTAGCAGCGAGTTTTCTAGCTGAAACAGAAACCTCTTTCTCTTTATCTTTGAAAGGTAACCCTGAAGCAGAAGAATGCAAAATCTGTTCTGTAGTAGTATCCATAGAAGGAGAACTGTTAGCACTAGTCTTCCACAGTGGAACTGGTGTGGTTGTCCCTCCTTTCTTTCCAACCAAAATAGCTCTCTTGAATCTATATTTTCTTGCCAATGACGAAGAAGAGGAAGAAGAACAGTTTCTCTTCCTGATTTTGTTGTCTTTTACACCTTCTTTAATGTTGTTGGTTTGATTATAATTATGACAAGAGGACATGGTGATGAAAACTGTGTTCTCTTCTGGAACTTGTTTGTTCACATGAAGATTATGGTTAGTAATGGTGATAGTTGCAAAAAGTTCATGAGAACAAGGTGATAGTTGAAGTCACTACATAAAGTAAGGGAAATCTTGTGAAGGGGAAGGGTGTAATGGTTATTTGGATTTGTAGGAAAAGTCTCTTAAAAAGACGGAAAGAGATGACGTGGCAGACACGTGAGGGGCATGTGTATTGAATGAGGGACATGCATGTGTTTTTTCAATGTTCTCTAAGAAATGTTGTTCCATACTAATAGCATGTGCTGTGAGTGTGTATGAATAGTTATATCAGTATATATTATTGACTTCGTTCTCTGTATTGCATTTGATTCATATCTACTTTGCTATAATATAATATATTATTTATTGCACTTAATTATTTTCTTATTCTTCATCTCACCTGGAATGTTCCTTAAATCTGTCATTAATTCAACTGTAACAGCGTTTTCTTCTTGTCATTAGTCATAGAAAAGACCAAAAATAATATTTTAATATTATTAAGTTCAATCAGAATTCTTTTTTATATAATACCAAAATGATTAATCTGTAATATAAAGACTAATCATTTTCATTGGCATATAATATGCATGTATCAATGATTTTTCATTATTTGATGGGTAGGAAAACAAGGAGATTGAGAAGAGATCCATACAATCAGGTTGCTTTACTGGCAAAGTTAGAGACTTGGTTGGAATTATTATTTACACAGTCTCAT